GTCTGTGAACTTTTTGGCCCAAATGCATCCTTGCCTCTTCTTGGACTTCCTGTGTTCTGATTATGAGACACTGAAAAATGTGCTGGCAATCACTGAGGTGCAGGCTCCAGGCCTGCACACTGATGGTCCTGGGCCCCTCCACCTGGGTGTCCCTTGGGCATCCTAAGGATGCTTCCCGAAGAAAGTCTAAGGTGGAATCCAACAGTACCGCCCCGAGAGATGCTTCATTTGATCCCCATTTGAGCCTCCAAAGCCCTAGCCCATGACAGATACTCATTTGCCAAACTTTCTGTCTCCACACTAAACCTAGTCCATCTTCAGGCCCTGCCACTGTGAATTCTAAATGTCTTCCATTTTGTCTGCTTTTATGTTCTTCTGACGATCTCCTGTGAAACTACCTGCCTTAGCCAGTGGTTTCTGGCTTGTATCTGGAGAAGACACTAACTGTCATCCTGCCTCTAATCTTGCCTCCTTCAGTAATCTCCCACTTTGCTGCATACCTGTTCTTTGCCGAGCAGAGATCCAATGTCTGTACTTAAACCCTTTAATCACTCCTGTTGCTCTCAGGATGAAATAGAACACTTAAGGCCATTTGTGGTCTGGTATGACCTGCTTCCCTCAAAATCCATTTCTCAGCATCCCCTGCCCCTCTTCTCCACTTCCCCCACCCTTGCAATTTTCATTCCAGCCATACTGAACAGATTCTATGCCCCAGTCTCTATAATATGACCAGTCCCTCTTGCCTCAGGATCTTTGCATAAGGCCCATTCTTGCTTGACTTAGGATGTCTTCCTTCTCCTAAGTACCACAAGTGCAAACACTCTGTCTTCTTCAACACATGATCTGCATTGCCTAGAACAGGGATGAATAAATTGTAGACACCTCAAATATGTTTAATAAGTTAGTCAAATAAATGACATACAGGCATTCAAAAGAGTGCTGTGCCTTTCATAGTATTTACCTTAGAAAACAATAGCAAAAACAAAGAATGACTATTTATTTTGCAAAGAATCAAACTCCTGATTTGTATGGATTATGATGTCTAGGAGTCTCTCTCCATCTGTCTCACACACACGCACAGACACACGCCCATGCACATACACCCACGCACACACATGCACACACACATACGCACACACACACATACACACGCACGCATGCACAGAGTCATTATCTAGCATGGCTATCCATATTGTTTCCCAAGATGGGTTCCAAGTTACTATTGATTATAGAAATAAAATTTATTGTCAAAAGATAAAAACTAAAATTTTTTGTCCCTAAGAAAATGTAAAGAATGTGCCTTGGTCTCAAAAAGTGTTTTCATGTAAATGCAAAGTTATTCTCCTATTTATTGGGTGCTTACTACATGCTAAGCACTGTGCTAGGGAATAGAACTGCAATAAAAAATAAAAAACAACCCCTGCCCCATTGACTGCTGACAAGATGCCTCAACATGGCTGCTGTGTTCCTACTTGGGAGGAAGCTACTCCACATATCAGAGGAGGAAGGAAGACGGAGGAGTGCTGGGGGAGGGGAAAGATGGGTCAAGGAGAAGAGAGCTCTGCCTTACCACTGAGGCCCAGGGGCTTCCTGGAGAACTGCCATGGCTGATGAGAATGTATTCAGTTGCCTTCCAGAAAATCTCCTCCAGCTGGTCCACGTCATCCAAATCCTCAGCTCTCACTAAGAGTGGAGGGTGTTTCTTACTGTTGTTTTGTGTCAGACTGTGAAGAGAGAATAAGAAGAGCTGGGAGAGTGGGCATTTGGGGAACACAAATGTGGCGTACTGATGCTTCACCCAGGTGGTTTTGGACCCTTTTACCACATAGTTGGCTTTGGTACTTTGCATTCCTCACTCGGGTGACACTTGGGTGACACCAGCAAAAAAGACAGGGGAAAGTTCATGCTGATTTTTGAATTCTGAGAGCCTAGAATTCAGTGAACATTCAGAGAATATTCAGTTTTAAAGTGTATTTGTAAGAATGGCTGACAAGAAACAGTCGTGCACCCAATCCTGACAAGATCAAGATTCCCTGGGACTTTCGGTTAGGGAGAGAGGAGTGCACAAATACTCCTTCTTCCGTTAGTGGGTTCCTAACAGAAGAGATGCTGAGCTCTATCCTCTTTCTCCTTCACCATGAACACCTCATACGGAGCTAACAAAAACCCCAGAAAGGATTGGGAAATCTGGGCATAGAGACAGACCCCTTTCCCAGGTAACCTTTGTGGAAGCACCAAGAGCTTAAAAGTGAGAGTGGATATAGGGATCTCAGGGCAGAGGGGCCTTAACAGCTGCCCAGAGCTTCCCACGGCCAAGCAATGGGCAGTAGTGGCAGAAAAATTCTCTGTATTCTCTGTGTGGAGGTGGGTAAGAGCTTGTAGAGCAGGAATGGGGCTGAAGAGTCCCTGATCCAGTAACTGGCTCCCCCGCCAGAGGAGAAGTCTTTGCTGCTGGGAGTCTCTGCTGATGTCAGAATGGATGGCCCTGACATGTGACATCATCATCTAGAACTGGGGAAGGATGAGCATCCTGACTTTCCTGGAAGTGTGCTCCCACCATCAGGTAAAATTAACATGTGAGCTTCTAGACACAAACAAAATGAATGTCCACTGCCACTAACAACTCTGAGGGTCCTGTACTTCTGTGGACACACACACACAGACTCAACAAAAAGTTACACAGGGTCTATCTAATCATCCATCAATCATCTGTTAATTTACCTATAGTATCTATCATTTGTCTACAACTTCCTTTATTCACTTGAGGTGGCAAAGAGATCTTTCATCTAAGTACAGCTCAGTCTCATTCTCTTTAGAAGCTATATAACATTCAGCTTAATGGTGGCACTACAGTTGATTTAACTGTTCCCTTATTGATGGCAATTTGGTTGTTTACAGATTTTAATGAGAAGATGGCATTCCATTTTATGAACTTACCGTAATTGCTGAACGCATTCTCTTACTGGTAGATCCTAGGCTGCAGACAATGTTTCCTGTTACAGGACTCCCTCAGAATCCCTGTCCATATACCTTTATAATGTTTTTATTTTATTTTTCTTTAGATTCATTAAAGTGAGATGGCATGGCCAAAGGGTAGGCAAATATATTTTATTACATAATTCCAAATTGCTCCCAAAATGTTTGTAGCAGTTGGTTTTTCCTGCCAACAATTAGGAAGCTGCCTGTTTTTTCACAGCCTCGACAGCAATCAATGTGAACAATATATGACTTGTTAACAATCAGATTTGGCAAAATCTATTTCGTTGCTACTCACTTCCTCATTCCTTTAATCAATACTGTGGTTGAGCATCTTTTCACAGATGTATTTGCCATTCATACCTCATTTTTGCCTATACGTATTCTTTATCCCTTTAGCGTATTGTCTGTCATTTTCTTTCAATGAGTTGGATTTCTCTAAATACGGGGTATTAACAGTCAGTTGTAAATGTTTTCCCTCCCTTGTTTGTCACTTGTGTTTTAGTTTTGTCTAGTCTTGTTCTTATTAGGAAAACATTAGTCATTTTGTTCCTGACCCTTCACTGCAAGGCCACAAAAATGTTCCTTCATATTTTCTTCCAGAATTCTTTTGGTTTTTATTTTTTACACTTAGGTCTTTGATTTAACATAAATTTATTTTTGTGATATAAGGTAGGGATCTTCCTTTTATTTTTTTTCCAAATGCATAGTCAATTGTTCTCATTCAACATGTTTTAAAAAACTACCCTTTCCCACTTATTTTAAATGCTGCTTTTATGATAGATTAGAGACCCATGTGTACTTAAATTGGCTTCTGTACCGCTTTTTCTGTTCCACTGGTGGATTTGCCCGGTGTCAAACTCTTAACTTATATTTTCATCATCCTTGCTGTAAGTTGGGAGGCTTTTCAACCCCTGGAGTTTCTGGGAGCCAGAAACGACGCATTGCTTCTTATGTTCCACAGGGGCAGAGCGCACTGCTGAACACAGAGCTTCCTTTAGGAGAAAATTTGGATTTTCACACATTCAAAAAGAAATTATGAAACTAATTAGCTAAAACTCAAGGTTATAAAATCACTGCTAATGGGCAGAAAGGCCTCTCCAGAATTTAAATTCTTCCTGGTGCTCCTCCTGTGCATTTACGTGCAGATAGCATCCTCCCAGGGCTGGGAGAAGCGCCTCCAGGAGAGCTTAGTTTACCTTCCAGGTTCTGGGGTACGCAGCCCTTCCAGTTACCGTCTCAAGCAAGGGAGCACCTGCCTCAGGAAGAGCGGCTCCCGTGAAATCTTCAGATCTTAAAGGGCACTGGTAAACGTCACAGTCTCCCAGCAGGAGAGTAGAGACAGCCAGTAGGTATAAATCTCAGGCAGCCAATGGTTGGCATCCATAAGCCTTACCTTGTAAATAATTCACTTCAGTGCAGGAAATCTGCATACGAGCATGAAATGTCATTTATAACTCACAGGACACTGGCTTGGCTGGGAACAACTTTCCAGTCTCTTCGACTCATTAAGTGCTGCTAAGGAAGAGAGAATGCAGCTGATGTAGAATAAACCCCCTGCAGTAAGCCTGTGACTGTACAGACTAGTTAGCAGTACTCAAACTGAAAATAAAACTCATGACCATGCGGGCATCATCACTCCGCTCTCTAAGCTCAGCGTCTCTCCAGGGTTAGCTTGGCTCTACCTCATTTTCCAAGCTGCTTCCAGGCCTGCCCTTCACTGAAACCCCGAGCAGACCAGGAGAAAGGTTGGCTGTGGTGCTTTCTCGTGAAGTGATGCGCGTTCACTGGCTGCAAAGAGAATATATAATGTTCCAATTAAGAGCTTATCGCCCTGAAATTCTGGAATCTCACATAGATGACTTGTGGAGAAGCAAGATGGTCTTTGTAATGAGCTCCTTTTCTCTCTTTATTAAATATTGATTGACTATAGAAGAAATTCAATTTCCAAATAGAGCTTAAGTCTTATTCCTAGGGTATTTGGTAGTAAGTCTTTTATTTTTTTGTTTGCTTGTTTGTTTCAGTTTTGACATGAGGACTGTGAACATCTCCAGAACAGAAGACATTTGGAAGAGCTCATGTCCATTGGTATCTGAAACTTGGCTGCTCATGTGGGTGAGTGCTTTTTTTTTCTTTTCTTCTTTGAGTGAGGGCCGGATATGTTGAAAACACAAAAACCTACAGTGGGAGAAAGAAGGAGGTTTTTACCTGTGGAAGGAAAAATAAAATGAATATGCCTTCAAGTTTGACTAGAAGCCTCTGAAAGTGTTTTCAGCCAATTTTACAACTATCTGTTGATACACAGAGACCTTAACTAAGCACAAGTGTAATCACTCTAGAAATAAACTCAAAGAACGGCTGAGTTTTCTTGGCTTTCTTCCCAAGAGAGTTATTGACTGAAAGACCAGGAGGGATTCATTATGAGATGGTTTACCTATTAGAAGGTCTCATGTCACTGGCTCTCAGAGGCGATAAGAGATTTGCAGGCTCTCGCTGATGAAGTGCTCATCCTGTCTCAAGGAGCGGCCTCAGATAGAAGGAGGTCGCTGCAGAATACATGGTTCACTCTGTCCATCTGTGTAGCCCCTGCTCTATCACGGATGGATATTAATTTCCTCTGGCCTAATTTCCTTTTTACAAAGTAATTTGATAGCAATCCCACATTTGCTCTCTCCTAGGTGGCTGTAAATTGATTGCTTGATGAATGTTCTAGTATTTTTTTTAACTGCTAAGGTTATCATTTACCCACTTTCAAAATATGCTGTTTGCCCTTTTCCAGTCTCCAGAAATACCTTGTATCCTGCTGTGATCCTCAGCAACACCAATTACATGGAAAAGAACCAACAATGTGAAGAAACATGAATATGGTGTTCATTTTCAAACTGAAAAAGGAAATAATTGCAGTTACTATTTACAGTATCTGGCTTTTCAGGCTTCATGCTACACGCAGCTAACTCTTTGTCAAACAATTAATTTTGTTTAAAATAAATAAGTTTATATATTTAAGGTCATGTTTCAGAAGTCAAACCATAACCATGGTTTTTATTGAGTCATAAAATGAGTTGGGGAAAAGGCAATGCATCTAAAACAACTCTTGAGATCCTCCACGAAGAATTTTAAGTATCAGTGTAAATTAAAAGCAGATTCACAGAGTGTTCTATGAAACAGAGCTCCCTATTAACTTGAGGGTGCCAGATTGGATCATTCCTCAGATTTCTCATGGCTTTTAAATGCAATAAGTACAAGCCAGGTGGATTATCAAAGGGATCTGTGGCCAGTATGGCATTAGTGTTCCAGTGTGATTTAAGCACATACATCACGACTGATTTTTTTTTAGTGGTTAAAACATACAAGTGACAATGTGCCAACAAACTTTTCTCAAACCATACCATATATTGTTGGTTTAGCAGAGGTTCCAATTCATAGCAATAAGTTTTGTGCCTTTTATTCTGAATTTCACAGTCTTTTAAAAAACTTTTTTATTTTTTAAATGTCTCTGTAATTTTTGTTTGTTTAATGCTTCTTAAAATTATTTACTTATTATTATTATAATACTTTAAGTTCTGGGGTACATGTACACACGTAGAACTACTAACAAACTTTCACAGTCTTTTAAGAAAGCGCCTTGACTGATAACTGGCTGAAAGACCATAAATGAAATCAATGAAAACTAATATCAATGAAAATAAACCTAGTCAAGGCGATGGCCGCTGGAATAACAGGATCCCGAAGTTAAGATTTATTTAGCATGCTGCTTCTTTCTCAGAAATCAAAAGAGTAAACACACATCAAGTTAAGTACGTGATCCCTAAACCAACTATATCTGACAATTCTTGGCTAAAAACTTGTAGATACACTTTCAAGAAGTGGAAAAATGGAAGAAAATGATATCCCTAAACTAACAAATGAGAAAATAGTTAACATGAGGCCTTATCCTTTTGGTGGCCAGTGGTTGTCCCTGGTTGCAGACTGTGTGCACAGGGAAGGACAGGGCCTCTTTCATGTTATGAGGGGGCACTGAGCCACCGTGGGAAGGAAGGAACTCAGATTATCTCCTGTTAACTAGATGAAGGAAAAATTGTTTTAATTAGGGACGTCTCCCAGCTCCCTTCCTGAACCCTAGCATTTATCTACTGGTAAAATAGGGCTAGGCACCATTGAAGAATGTGGGATGGAGCTCCCCATAAGTTGAAAGTAGTCAGGCTTAGGGACTGATGATGGGAGGAACTGGACTGGCCTCGATGCTGGAGTATTGCATGGAGAGAGAGCAGGTACTTAGCCACCCTTCTGTTTCAAAGCTGGAGCTACTTGGGTTGTATCACATTTGCATTCTAATAGTCTACCAGCTAATAGGCCTCCAGCCTTGAGGAAGTCAAGGAGGAAAAGGAGAAAGATGGGATTTCTTAATGCTGATGAAGTCTTTATTCCAGTTACAGAGAGATGGAACTGGTGGATTTAATTCTTGTTGAAATATGTGTCGTTGCATCTTACCTACGAAATCAGGATCTCCATCTCTTTTTGTAAATTCAAAATGGTCTCCAACATACAACGATCATAAACTATACTTAGATCTGTACTGCTTGATTAAATTGTGCTTTACTGCCACAAAAGGGCCATCAGAAGGCATTTGCATGGGTGGGAACCTGGGAGCTTCCTCACTGGGCTGAAAGGTAAGTGACTAGAGTCACTGGAGTGTTGGGTCTCAATTCCTTCTTTCTCTACTCCTCCACTTGTCCTATGTTTGAAGCCGAGGATAAGAACAGCAATGCTGTTACCCAGGCACTAGTGTAAATAAAACCAAGCTAGAAATGACGGAGCAGGAGGAAATACTTGTGATATTCCACAAATACCACCACTGCTAGTAGTGAGAGAAAAGTACTTCGACAGGAAAACAAGAAGCCAGTGAGCCATTCTTAAGGGGAATCCTAAGAGCACGGACGCCATTCTTCTCCCACTTAGGATGTCTTGCTGTATGAGTGCATGGAGGCACCTGGACTTCTCTAGAGCCAGAATTCGGAGAATCTTTTGCTTTATTTGAGTTGACCATGAGGCAGTTTTCCTGTAAATGTGACTGACTTAAGTAAATCAAATACAAAACAAAAATCAGCTTTAGGTCCCATGAGGAACTTCCAGAAATACCCAAAGTCTAGTTAGTCACTGAAGAACAAGTATAATTCCTAATGGCAATGCTTCCTACAGCATTCTGTGTAAATCTGGAACCCCAAGATATTAACAGGTTATTTTTAAGAAAGGGGTTTTTGTTAATTTGGGAAACACTGGATAAAATGAAGTGACAGTATTTGAGAGCACTGAAATGAAATCTTTCCCTGCTATGATTCTGAGCTGCAGGTTCTCCTCTGGCTCCCACCATGAGATAGCTGGCAGGACCTCTGCAGTGGCCACAGGTCAGGAGTGGAGGAGCTGAGGAGGTGGCATGTATAAGGTCTCCATGATCAGGGAGGGTCAGAAGAAATCAAAGGTCTCATCCTGGTGTTTCTCCCACGTGGAGCTCTGTGGGGGCAGGGTGGGGGACATGACAGGAATAGCAAAATGGGTGTAAGGTGCCCAAGAACTTTGGGGCTAGCTGCTCAACTTCCATGTGTAGCTTGCGGAAGGCTGCAGGCTTATAGGAGAAACCTGTGTTCCGCTCAGCTCTGTGTCCAGAGGGAAGAAAAATTATGAGACAAATGGGACTGTTTCACATTTTGGCAAACATCTTGAATGCCCGGCTTGACTGAAGGCAACTGGGTTTTCTTATCTGCTTCTGCACTGAGTCTTTTGAAATACCTAACCTCATGCAGGCTCTGGAAAACCCTGCTGCACATAATGCTAATGTCTTAGTATTATCATGCAGGTAATTTTGAGATTCTGGATCCCTGAAAACGCCTCAGGGACTCCCGGACTTCACTTTGAGAATCAATATGACAGTGACTGGGGTTGAAACAAAGAGACAACAGGGCCTTCACAACTGGACAGCCAGGGTCTGGACTCCTTGGGGGACCAGCTTGAGTCTCAATAGTCTAGCCAAAGCCACAGAAGTCAGCATAACAACTGTGCAAGACAGGCCAGTGAGTGTCCATTGGACACTGTGGGAGGCCAAGAGCCCTTCCTCCTGAGCCAGGGGGCACCATGGAGAGGGATGTGGGGAAGCAGGGAGGCAGGAATTTGACTCAATGGGCACCTCAAAGACTGTGTCATCCAAGTCACTGAACATCTTTGGCAGGGCTATGCATCGACTGAACATTTAAACCCCAATTTCTTTTTAATCAGAAGAAACTGAGCTGGTTCACTTTAAGAAACAGACTGGCAGTCCCTCAAAATATTGAATAGCGTTATCATACAACGAGCAGTTCTGCTCCTAGAGATATACCCAAGAGAAGTAAAAACGTTTGTCCACACAAAAACGTGTACACAAATGTTCAGAGCAACGTTACTCATAAGAGTCAAAAGGTGGGAATGCTCCAAACGCACATCAAGTGATGAATGGATAAACGGAGGTTGGTAAATCCATGGAGTTGAATATTAGCCACAAAAAGGAATGAGGCAAACACATGCTGCAAGGAAGATGAACAGGAAACACTACACTTAGTGAGAGCGTCACAAAGACCACATGTTGTATGACGGAATTATCTGAAATGTCCAGAATAGGTAAAGCTGTAGAAACACGATGGTATTTATCAGGGTCTGGAGGGCTGGGGAGGAAGGAGGGACTGCCGATGGCCATGAAGTCTCTCTATGGGGTGATAAAACTATTCGAAAATTAGTTATGGCAATGGTTGCACGACTCTGTGAATATATTAAAAACCACTGAATCGGACACTTACGGCTACATTTTGTAGTATGTAAATTATATCTGTATCTTCTATTAAAAACATTTTGTCCTTACTTTATCAAAATAGGACTTGAGAATTCAATAAAAGACTTGAGTTCTCACTAATTAAGTTTAATACATTTTACTGTGAGATCAGATCAGTTTTGAAAATTAAAATGCTGTATTAAAAATAATGCTACCTTTTTCTTGCAAATTCCACCCCCGAAAAAAAATTAATCAATATTTATTCCTATAGGACTTCTCAGAGGTTTTACGCATATGTCATTATGTCCGGTGAGGGTTCAAGATTGCAGTGTTTCCAAAAACAGCTGCTCCCTGCACCTCTGCAGTCTCAGAGCATTTGGTGTAGCTCTCTTAATGTCCTAGAGAAGTCAGTTGGAGAGGTTGTCCTTTTAACTTTAAGGGAAAAAAGAGGCTTTACTGATCTATATGGGATGAGAGAAACCTTGGAAACAGAGTTAGGAGATAAACTTGTTTCTGTAGAACAGAAACATTTAATTTGAAGGGACCTTAAAAGGAAGGCAGCCCCAGTGACCCTTCCTGGGGTGAGGGCTGTGCCAGGCGCGTTCATACCACACCCCTCAGCTTTCCAGCCGGACCATGAGGCCAGCGTGATGTCCCAGGTAGCACAAAGAGGTTTGGAGAAGTCAGTTTTCTTATGGGCAAACAACAAGGAGGTGATGGGATGGGCCTCTGGCCTCAGGGATGTCTCATGGTTCCTGCGCCCTTATCTCTAAACTTTGCAACCACAAAATATGGAGCCAATAGCACTGGCTTAAGCACGTTTTAGGAGAGAATGGTGAATTAATAAATTACCTGTGCTGTTTTCACTCTGCTTTGATTGGCCCAATTATTTCTATTGTGATAAGTGAAATTTACCCATCACCTGTAAATTTCAAGTGTACAAGAGACATCAAAGTCTAAATTTTTTTTACTAATGGCCGTAATCAGCAAAGACTGTCATTTTAGTGACACACTTTTGGAATGCAATCAGTTTGCTACTCATCTATAATGGTTTAGTCTTTTAGTTTTAAAATCTACCACTCAGATGGAAACTGTTCTTTGCAACACATCACACCAAGAACGTTTGACCATGTTGTTTCTTCTTCATCTGACAGTACAAAAGAGAAGACCACCTGTAGTCGTAATCTGACTCTTCTAGCTATTCAGTTATGACTTCTCTCAAGGTACAGGCATCATTTCTGATCAACCAAGTAAAACCAAGTGATAGTATGAATGCACTCACACTTAAAAATAAGTAGCAAATACAATCAAGAAGATTCTTATTAGTGACTACATTTTATTAAGGGTGGGTGTCCATGTCAGGTTTGAATATGGAATATTTACTTTTCTTTCCTTGACCTGCAAGTCTATGAATTATTTTATGATTACACATACAAGTAGAAGCAATGTTATATAGAAACCCGATGAATAATGTACAGTTTATTTAATTAACTCAGAGGAGGAAGGATTCTTTTCTGTTGTTAGGGGGTATGTATAGGATACAGTACTTGGGAGTTTCACACTAATAATGTCCTTGCATGGGGTGGAGGATCACTCTTCCTTCAATTGATAGGACTGTTGAAATCCCTAAAAAGTTTGGAATAATCCCAATGCACTTGTTATCCTGCCTGCCTGATGCCTGCTTCATTCCAAGTCCAGTGCATAGTAATGGATTTTAAAAATCACTGTGACAAGGGATGCAGAGCATGTCCCTTGTCCTAGTGCCCATGTCACATGTAGTAGTCAGGTATGTTGTTGTGATAACAACCCCCAAATCTCAGTGGTTCATGACAATGAACATTTCTTCTTGTTTAAAATATCTCACTACTGTGACACTGTGTGTCTTCTCATTCCAGAACTCAGGCTAAGGAGCAGAGATCTGGGGGGACAAGTCCTTTTCATGGAAGATGAGAAGTACCGGGGGGAGAACCAAATCACACAGTTGCTCTCGAAGCTTCTGCTCACATATGCCTCACATCACACTGCCCTTGTTGTTGTGGCCAAAGCAGGCCACAGGCCACACCTGGTAGTGGATCTGCTCCCCCAAGTTGCAGCGTGATGGGCAAGTGTGTTTGCTGTTACTGAGAAAGGGAAGGGATAAATAGTTGTGACAGATGATACAAATGTGAATACTCAGCCTGACACAACTCCAGTGGAACAGGCTGTCTGTTTTGCTAGAACCCATGTCAGCTTTTGGATTTTCACCCTCTGTGCGTGACACAGATTCCACTGGACACCAAACTTATCCACAGCATCCATACAGAGATATTTGGACTCACTGAACACTCAATCACCACGTGCAAACAGGAGATACTGAGCTTCCAGTAAATAAAAACTCTCAGATGCATCAATAACCTAAGAAGAAATTAAATGTGAAGATCTGATCAGAAACATGGTTCTGGAACCAGTGAACACTGGCCAGAAGAAAAAAACGAAGTCCTATTCCACTGCCTGGACAATATTAGGAAGGAATTCCTTGTAGTTTCCTACCTTGTGTTGGCTTTAGAGTCATTGATGAGTGGTATCTATGTTGCATGATACATAACGTAGTGAGAATTATTCACATCGGAAACCGTTTTCCTACTGGCTACTGAGACGTTACCATCATCTGATTTATTACGAAGTGTTGTTTTCCTTGTCAGCATTCTGTGGTTTAACAGCACACCTGAGTGTGAATTAGTTATCAACTGGCTTTCTTATTGAAAAGACAGATAAGGCTGCATGAAAATGCTTAGCACATGGTTAGGAAGCAGTGGATGAAAATGGCAGAAGTAGGACCCAGAAGATGAACTCTTTTACTTTTGATTATTCAGATTATACGTAAGTTCCCATGCTGCTGAAATCTCTTCAGCAGCAAGTTAACCTCCAACCTGAAAAAGATGGAAGAAATCAAGAGTTGAGGACGGAGGGGACAGGGATGGTCTCTGCACCATGTGCTCCCGGAGGTGGGGACCCCTGCCTTGCCCATCTTTGCATTCCTCATGTCTGCTGTGGACCTGGTACTGAGAGGTTTGACGTACTGAGAGGTTTGAGGTACTATTTTTACCATTGCCTCTCTTGATTTCCCACCGAGTGCCTCCTGAGTCATGCACCCCATCACAGCCTTCGCGCAAGGCCTGGAGACTGACCCAGCACACACTGGCCTAGGATTAAATCATAACCATCATCATGTACCTAAGCTTCTACCTATCTGCATGTTGACTGATGAAATTTGTAAAGTGTTATAAGGACTTCAAATCCACTTATAACTATGACACGCAAAATGCACAAAACCAGCTTCTAAAGCCTTCTGTGAGGATCGGTTACATTTATTTAAGACTGAAGAACTTTAAGATCCTTACTTTTAAAATGTAAAAAAACAAAACAAAACAAAACAAAACAAAACCAGAAAAGGAAATAGAAGCAGTGTTGGAAATCAAGAAAGAGAGGAAGGAGATGCTTCCTGCCTTCTCCCATCCCATCTCCGCTTCGGTCAGAAACACTAAGAGGAACCCTGTGCTACAGAAGACTTTCTAGAAAATTTGTCTAAGGACATTAGCCTTTTTGATATATGACTGGGTGAAAACTTCCTTTTCATAAACCATTGAACACCCCATCACCTCTGCAAACGGGGTGTCTATTAATGGGGTCTGCTGCCGGCACATAGGCTACTCCTTCATGAATGCTGAAATTCAATGCAACTTTTGCTTCTGTCCTGTAATGAAGGAAAAGAAGCTTTCTGCTAGGAGTGCCGTGTTGAAGCTGTCTGGGTAGGTTGAGTCTGTAGGTGTTGCAGGCGCACTTAGGGTTAAAGCACTTGGAGGCATCCTCGCTTCTGTGTTAAGAGGATCTCTGTGTAGGGGAGAGAACATGGACTCATTGGCCTGTATACTGATGTAATGCCCAAGGGGAGGGCCCAGTACCTTTTCTGGAAGCGGCTGCTCTTCCTCAGATTGGAAACTGGAATTGGGAGGTTGTCTTGGCCAGAACCAAGAAAGAATGAACTCTGGATTGACATCTCAACTTAAACTTTGTAGAATCTGGATTCGAGAGACAGAGCACTCACAGGAGGTTGGGGCAAAAGAGTGCTTTGTAGGACCATAGCTCAGCAGTGATACTTCCCTCTTTTCCAAGGTTAAAGACCCACAAACTCAATGTGGTAGGTGCTTCCTTCCGCAGAAAATTCCCCTTGAGTATCCATCCCTTTCCTGCGGAGTCTTGTTTAAATGTTCCCAGCTGTGTTATGGGGAATTGGGGAGGAGCTGTGGGAACATACTTGTCCATGTGGGGCTGCAGCAGCAAACAGTGAGAGGTCTCCTTGATGACAGTGACTCTGAGGACACGGAGCTGGTGCTATGACACCTGGTAACTAAGTTCCCAAGGAGTTTTTCCTTTTCTTTGTTAACCTTGAAGATCCAAGTATTATGTTACAAAGCCAAATGGAATCTTCCCACACATAGAGTTCTCAGGTTTATCAAGTGCTTCTGTGACTCAGTGATGCTACACGAGAACATTTAAACATATCTCCAAAGCACAATCTTTGGATCTGAGGGCAAAAAGCTTCTGTGAATATTAAAAACAAACTGCATCTTCCTGAATCAAAATAAATACTACTATCTGCGTTTTAATGGAAACAAAATCTAGGATTACTTTTGTGCCTTAAGCAAAATGTAGAAACTCATTTTCCCATCAGACTTGGGATGTCAGACACCTAGGAAAGTTATTTCAGGGACTTTCCTTTAACCTGATGAGGCTCTAACATTTCTTTCCCTGGATTCCAAGTGCAGGTTTCCTGGTTGTCCATTTAGTTGTTAAAGCGGGAGAGATCCTGCCGGAAGATAAGCATCACAGAAGAGCAGGAGGAAAGCTGAGTGAAGGAGGTTACTTGGGAGCCACCCCTGGAAGCAGCCCTTGTGCAGACCATCACTGCAGGGTGGAGAGTGACTTTGAGACGTGTGGTGGCCTCTGGATGCTGCTGTACTGCTGGCCTCTGGATGCTGCTGTACTGCTGGCCTCTGGATGCTGCTGTACTGCCTCCTGGGAATATTCACGATCTTCCACTGCTTGTAAACGGTGCCCAATGAGTGGAAAATTAGAGGGCACTTACACACACACACACACACACATTCACTGAACACTTGCTGCGTTATCTCCTGAGTGTGTATGGCTTTTGACAAGGTGCCTGATGAAGACAGATGCACATGGTTGTGAGTCCACTGAAGCTCATGATGGGTGCCCCACAGTGTTGGTGTTGAGTAAAAGTGCCCCGGACAATATTCACTGTGCTTGACGCACCGTATGACTAATAGAATATCTGCTACTGTGTGAACAGTGAGCATATGCGCAGCATGCAAACCAGCAGCCCAGTGTTGTTCTGATGGTCTTGTCCTGAGTGCTTTTTCTCATCCAGTTGGAGATGACTCATTCTCTAGAAAGAAGAGCAAACAATGGTGGGTCCCACCAAGGCCATGGACAAGGGAAAGGCAGAAATATGTAGAGGGTGAGAGACAGAGGAGGCTTGAGACTTGCAGGGAGGGACAAGAACGGAACTCGGAAGCTTGTTTTTTAGCAGATCCCAAGCTGTGACAGTCAATAGTTGTGGACCACACATGTGCAGAGTGACACCTAGAATTCTCAGAGTTGGTGATTTAAAGAGAAGAAAAAAAAAAGCACAGACTAAAAATTAATCCTCAATTTCCCACAGATCTCAAACTTCCAGCTGCTAAATGACAGTGGTATGTGGGGGGCGGAAAGAGACCGCATCTAGGAGGGATGGCCTTGTCTATTACAGTTGAGACGGGTGCCAAGAAAGGACGAAGATGCTCTCTGCCAACTAGACTTAGAGGGGGAAAAAAACCATAATCATGTTTATTTTCATGATAATCATATGCAAATGAGGTCACTACAATCTATAAACATGGTAATTCCTTTTTATGGATAAGTACAACTTAAAAGTTGTGAACAAGAGCAAAAGGATATAATTTTCTAGTTTTCTAATGAGCTGAGAGTTTATGCCCAGTTATAGTTGTGCTTAGAATGGTTTTTCTATTTCCTCCTTCTGTAGCTCTGGTAGAGAATCTATGAGGACTGGAGATAGAGCGAAGATGGCTTAAATCCTGGCTGCACCAATTGTCCTCCACATGATCTAGGACAATTGACCCACGCTTTGCAGATCTGTTTCCTTTCCTACAAAATAGACGGGACAACCAGAAGGTCAAAGTGAAGTGACAAGATGTGAACTTGCTCTGTATGATAGTAGGAACTATTTGCTGGGAAGGGATTGTGGTTTCTTAGCTGTCTTTTAAATGTGGTTGTCTGTGCGTTAAGAAAGGAACATTTTAATTCCAAACAGCTCTGTGAATCAGCTGGGGCTGAAGACTTGGGTGAAGTTAATCCGTAGTCAGTGGATTTTAGGTAGTTAACTTTAAATAATTAGGAATAGCACTGACATATTTGACCATATTTAGTGCATCTGCTTAAAATTCTATTTGAAAACTTAAACCATGTGGTAGGTTAAGCCAGCCTTCTACTGCAGCCTGAAGCATGTGCCGATGCAACATGGGCCCGCTAAGGCAAGGCATGTACCAGGTGATAGAAAACGAAATGACGTAGGTGAGTCTTACCGTCCCCACTCCTCTCTCCTTTTCCTCCCTTCCCTCACTCCAGGTTTAGATGTCCTGTTTCCTGCAGACCCTCACCTGGCCTGTTTTTGATCGAAGCATTTGTGGTTAGATGAGGACATGGATAACTAATGAGAAGTCTTGTCACCCACGCAGGACAGGAGCAGTGAAGAAATCACTCCTGAATATGTGTGCTGTGCTTAACATGGCAGCGCGGCATCATAACCATATGTGGGTGTTTAAAAATGCCATTTGCTGATTTTCATGATGTCAGTTGGGCTCCTCCCACACCTGTTCTGAGGCATGAGAATGATAGATCCTGCAGTTTATGGGCTGAGCTGCAGTGGATGATTCACACGATTAAGATTCATCGGCGGCCTCTGATCAGAGTCTTACTTAAATGAACCTGCTCCCTCCATGGGTCTTCTGTATTTAGAGACTTGGTCCAGGTTACCCTGTTAACCCGCTTTATTGGAGAATCTCCTGCTGTATTTATGGGATGGGAGAGCCCAAAGGTTTTTACTTTCAGCTGCTGCCTCTTTTTGCCCCTTAAATGTAGAAAGTAAACCCTAATTTTTTCTATGGAAGAAAATTTTTTCTTTAATCTGTCATAGAAAAGGAGACTTTTCAAGCACAGAGAAGTTATTTCAACTTTGGACTTGTGAAGAGAGTCAGCATCTACTGCATCTGGATTAAATAGACACGATTCTGTCCCTCTGAGGGGTCTGTGGCATCCCAGTCAGTGCAGAGGAGTTCAGGACACCGGTCTGATGCCTCTGGAGGAACGAACAGCCAGCATCATCCCTGGAAGCGTAGGTCGTTGGTTGGTAGAGGTTCCTGTTGAATTAGAAGACTGTGCATCAGACACTAAAGCTGGTCCTTTCCCAAACTGGGGTTTGGAGGCTGCATGTTGCCAGAAGGAGCCTGGCTTGCATCGCTTCCCTCTTCATCACTCCCTGGCTTTCAGAGAGTGAAGGCTTGCTCGTGAAGGGCATCCCTGCTCTTGGGTTCTCTTTCTGGGTCTCACCCCGCCTCTGATTGTCTGGTCCTTACTCTGAGCTTCACTCCTGACTCCATTTTCTGAGTTCTGCTACCTAATTCAAGCTCCAAGTCTCAAGTTCCCATGCAGGCCCCAGGCACACAGAGACACACGCTCACTGTTGGGAGGACTCTGCCCCACCTCTGTGGCAGCCATGCTGTGAGGCCATTAAGAAGCCATGCACCATGTCAGCAGCATTCTGTTCCCTCAGACCCTCATAACCTGTGTCCCCGCTCTGCACCGTGACCCTGTTTGCCCCAGACCCTCATAACCTGTGTCCCCGCTCTGCACCGTGACCCTGTTTGTGGGACCCCACTTTGGCTGTTTTGTCTCTTTGTTCCTTTCTCCTCCTTTTGAATAGTAGACCGCCCTGGAGCTGTCCTCGACTTTTGTGTGATCTCTTCCATGTTCCCTTTCGTGTTTTATTCACTATTTTCAAATATGTGATCGTCTGCTGGCAGACCACGTGTAGAACTTCTCCTAGTCAGCCTGAGAGCCACTGGCACACCCCCAAACAGTCCATTTTCCTGGCCAACCTCCACCTCCACCTTCTTATGATTTCCCTGCTCCTGTGAATGGTGTCACCAGCCTTCTAGTTAGACGCTGTCATTGTCAATTCAGCCATCCCCTGCCCCCCACCCCTGCTAGTTCTGGCTTCACATCCCCCTTAACATCCCAGAGTTCTGCGCTAATTCAGACCCTCATGCTGCTAGAGGGCATGCATGGCTGCGATGGCCACTCAGTGGCCCAGCCATCTCCATGGCATGGCCTAATGCCCATGTCTCAATCATGTTACTCTTATGCTCAGCCAACCTCAGACCTTCAAGAAGTGCTCACAGTTTCCAAAGGAAGCCCAGTCATTTCAAAGTATTCCCCCTTCTGATCTACTTGTATTGTGCCAACCCCCTTTACCTCATATAGCCTCCTGCTGGTCCTGGGGACTATCCCTTAATGTTTCTCCTTTTGTGTCCTTTGCTTATGTGAGTCCTTCTGTCTGGGACACTCAACTCTCCTGGCCAAATTCCAGCTCAGACACAGTCTCCTTCAAGAAGCCTTTCTTGATCTCCGAGGAGACCCTTCTTCCTTCCAGCTTCCCCAGCCTGTCTGCTGAGTTGCCCATCCTGGAGACACTCACCCGGGCCTCTACCTGCCTGGAAGTGATGTGTGTTCTTAGAAGCCTCGTCTTCCTTTCAACTCTAAGCCCACTGAGTCAAGAAGCTTGTCGTAATGTATGCGTTTTTCACTTACTGTATGAACTTGCTTTACTATGGTGAGCCTGAAAAATTATTTATTTCATCTTGTTGGAATAAAGACTGCCTGGCTTCCATGAGGGGAGTCTTATATGTATTACGTGCTCTGCAAAAATCCTTGGAAGAGTTTCTCCTAATTTAAATCAGACTCCAATTTGTGGGTTAAAATTAGGAAGTGACATGAAAGAATTTACAAAACATGATTCTTCTTGGGGTATAACTTTTGAGTAATATTTTTTCTTAATTTCATGTACCTCTGTCTCTTTTGAACTGGGGCAAGCCCTTGATAGTTTCTTTAAGGAGAAAAGAGAAACACATAAATTTGGAAATTCTAGTAGTTAAAATGCTTCCAAAAGTTAAGCTAATAGAATTAGCTTCAGAGAAATTATGATAATCAACGTATTCTGCAGTTAAGTATAATTTGCATAATCTCAGAATGGAGTGTGTCTCAACTTTCAGGAAAA